TATTCCTCATAATTTCTCTCCCACCACAGTCTTCACCAATAATACAATCTACAAATAACATATTATTTATAAATATTAGTTTCAATTTTTGAAACTAATAAAAAATTCTAATAATAGAATTAAAAATATAACATAATTTCTAATCTCAATCTTAATACAAATCTAGAGTCAACACTATTAAGTAAAATGTTTAACTCCTCTTTTAATTATCAATAAACATTAATAATCTAAAAATTAAATTTTAAACTAATTTCTATTATCAAATTTTCTTTTTATTTTATAAATTCGCACCTAAAATACCCAAAAATTAAAAATTGAGTCTCTAACTTAGAATCATAATCCTATAGCCATAATAATTCATTTCTCATTCCAAATAATCATCTAAACATTAATAAATCAACATATATTTTCAGATCTAGTTTAGAATTTGATCCATAAGCCACAAATTCAAAGATCATCAATAAATTTATACTCTAGAACATTTATTATACTACTGACAACCTCAAAAATCATATTTATTCAACATAAATTCATCCTTCTTCCAGATCTTAAATTTTCTACCACTACAAACTCAGAAACCAAAGAAGAAGGATGACTAAAAAAAATTTTTAGAACACTTACTTAGTCTTAAAAAGTTTAAAATCACACCCTAAATATCCTATTAAAAACTCTTACTTTAAAAATTTAGATATTTCGCACCAGTGACTCGCGTTCTCTCTGCCAAGCGCGGACGAAGGAATGAATGAAGAAATGAAGAAACAGGTGAGTTTTATAAAAATTAGGGGTCCCACATCTTTTTTTTATTATTTCTTCTTTTTCTCTCTCCCTTTTTTTATATTATTATTATATACAATGATTTCACCGAGCTCACGTTTTCTTCCTTCTTTCCTTCTTTTTCTCATACCTTTTCTCTTTCTTTCTTTTATAATAATAATAATAATTTAATAATATTTTATTTATTTATTTTTAATTAATTAATTTTTTTAATTTTTTTAATTTAGAATTATATCCTAAATTAGATTTAATAATCATTTTCTACTAATTTACTTACCTCTAAATATTTTTCAAAATTTCTATTAACCCAAATTAACTATTAAAATTTAAATTGGGATGTTACAGTCATGTTTTATAAGATGATATGATAAAAAAATATGAAACATTTTTAGTTTATCAATACGTAATTACTAATTTTTTCAAAGATATTTTTATTAAATAAATTATTTAATCCTTTAAGTATTTAAATAAGATACCTTATTAAATAATGACAAATATTAAAAGATGATATCAGTTTAAAGATAATTAACTAAATTATTAAAAATATAATTGAGTTAAAAATATTTTATAAAAGAATTAAAAGTATACATGTGTGTGTACCTAAAACCAAATTCAACGGTAGAATTAAAAGGAGGGAACAATGAATTCGGCGATGTTTGCGGTAGGTGATATGATACACACACACACAGAGTGGGACCTATTAATTCAGGTCAAAAAAATATTGGCGTATTAATATTTGGAATACAATAAACTAGATTGGATGGCACAGGAATAAGATGTTAAAAACCTGAAATATTTAAAATGTGAATATTACGAAGTTTGATGCAAAACAAGCAGGGCATGAAAAATATATTTGGGCCAACAAGGAGGGAGTCGGCCTCTCTCGAAAAACTGGACTGTCCAGATTAACGTTAGAATTTAATTTAGATAGTTTAAATTTAATTTTTTTATTTTTTATTTATATTTTTAAAATAATAAACATATAAAAATTGTAAAAAAAATTAATAAATATATAATTATCAATCTAACAGTCTATATTTAATATAAATGGTTCAAATTTAATATTAATTTTTTTAATAAATTTAATATTTTATTCACAATATATTTTTATTGTCTAGAATATATCTGAAAAGTTAATTTAAATTTTTTATATTAAATTTAAATTATCTATATTAAATCTGAACTGTCAAATTAATAAATATATTTATTAAAAAATTTAATTTTTATATATTTTTATTTTAAAAATGAAATATTAAATCTAAATGATTCAGATTTTTTTTTTTTTTATTTCAGAGGCAGAAGAAGCTTCTCTCATCTCCAATAAGGAGAAGGACGGAATACTCTTGGAAGGAATCAAATATGCTGGGTGCAGCCAAGGGGAATCCAATGGGCAATGTGGAAGCAATATTCCGAAAGATTCCGTGCCATGAGAGGAGGTCACGAAAGCTGTAAGATAGGGCTGCACAAAAGACAGGACGGCACTGGACTTCACCCTAACCCGAAGTCCGGTCTCTTTCATGAAAAAGACTGGGTTAGGCAACCCGTAGTCCAGTCTTGTCCAGTGATAACCCGAAGATTAACAGGACCGGACTTGGTCCATAGGACTGGGAGACTGGTCCTGTCAGTCCAGTACTCACTTAGCTTTTTTTTCCTCTTTTTATTCTATGAGAGGCAATAATCCATTCCAACATAATAAACTCAATTAAGATAGTAAAAATACTTATAATAATAATAAATCCATAATAATTTCTAACAATAAGAAAAAAAATATTTTTGTTATAGTCTAAATTATTTAAATTTATAAACTTTAATAAAAACAGTACTCAAAAAATTCAACAACACTATATTACAATAATAATTTAGAAACAAACTTAATAAATCTTTATGCAATCATCTCCTTAGCATCAATTACACTTTAAACATTTGTCAAAAATAAATTAATTATAATTATAATAAAAAAAATTAATAGGACTGGACTGGACCAAGTGGTCCGGATGCCTGGTCTCTTGTCCAGTCCAACCCGAAAAAATAGTCTGGTCTTTTTAGTCCTTTTGGTCCTGAAGGACCAGTGACTATACAGATCGAACAAGACTGAGACCATCTCGGGTTGGATTGGACCAGACAGGACTGGAAGACTTTTGCACAGCCCTACTGTAAGATAGTGACGTGAGGGTATTATCAAGGGCCCAAATATTCGATTAATTCAATAAATTGTTTTGTGTTTTTGTGGCCAAATATTATAGAATAATTAAATTATTATTATTTTTGTAAAAAAAAAATTAGATGAGTTGAATCCTAAGCTCCCCGGAACTAGGCCATACTTTTGAATTTAAAAAATATTTATAAAAATACTTATAAATTGTGAATTAATAAGATCCTCATGTTACATTGGTAACGAAATTTAATATTACAATTTTATGAGTATAAATCCCTTAATCTTTGTTAGCTTTAATAATTATTTTTGCTTTCACTCGAAGACAGTAATGTCCTATTAATTGGAAGCCCACCGCTTTCTTCAAAAGTTCTTGACATGAAAAGTTGTGCTTCTTGTGCCATCGTAGTTCGTTATGCTCACACACTAACAAATCAATCTTAAAAGAAGTGTTTTGTCTTCAATTTTCATTTGATTAGAATTTCTAGCTTCTATATGAATAAAAAGGCACTTAAAGAGATGCTAACAAATAACCCATTAATAAAACTATCATCTTAATATTATTTAAAAAAAAAAACTATCATCTTAATAGTAAGATAACGAGCTTAAACGCATCCTTATAAAGTATAAGCCACAATTTATCAACTAGACTAACATTTATTGGCTAGTATGCTCTTAATTGAAATCAGTGACTGTTAATACTTCCTTAGACTCAAATTAATGTTGTGCGCAAAAAATTGTCTCTGCAAGAGAAATAAACAGTTAGCCTAACACCTTTGTTGTGTTGTCAAAGACTCAAAGATAAAACTCTGCTTATTACAATTCCAAGACTTTCAGGACTTGTCTGGTCACTATATAGTATACAAATAGAGATCGAGGCCAAGCCATATAGAAGATTGGTTGAGACTATTAAGCATCTTTTTGAATAAATTGTAAATGAATTCTTCTTCGCTTCAGAATTGATAATCTCCTTCAAAGTCAGTTCAAAACAAGAAGCTAGTTTTTTTCCCCCACCTACGTTCAGATCAACCAATAAGACAGTAATTTTGTTGTCGAACCCATGGCTTAAGATCTAAACTTTCTTTGTTCATCTGAACTGTGATGTTAACAAAGATTAGCAATTTGTAATGATGTGTTCAATAAACGGCCCATCTCTTCTTCCTTCTCTTTGATTTGTCTCTTTTCTCTTCTTCATAACCCTTTTCCTGTCTCCACAGATCAATGCCAGAGAGAGATAGTTCTTCAGCAAAGTCCCACATGCCATAACACAACAATAACAAACAAACTGAAACTTGCAAACACATAACTAGTGAACAAGCCAGAGCAAGGGCTTGTGTTCTTCTTTGAGATGAATTTCTGCCAGAGTCACTGCTGCCACGAGTCCAGTTAGTCACATAGTCCCATCCTGTCTTTTCTCTGTTTTTTCCCCTCAATCTCTCTCACTCCTTCCAACGGATTTTCCTCCATCTAAATAAACCTGACTCTTCATCACTTTTCTTTCTCCATTCCCTCATCACTTTCTCTCTCTGTCTCTCAACCAATCTTCCTCATTAAATCCTAGAACCACACCCCTTTCCCTTTCTCTCTCTTCAATATCTTCGCTTGACATTCCCCTTTCTCACTCTCTCCTAGGTCTCAGAATGCCTTACCCTCGCAAATTAAGCTACTTATAATAATTTCGATATTAGGATTTCCAATGTTCGTCTCTCTCTAGGCATAAAATTTTTTTACAATAATATTCCTCGTAATCAATTTATAATTGCACTGTCTTAACCGCAGCCCTGTGTATTAACAAAAAAAGGAATACCTTACCCTCCAAAAAAAAGAAAAAACATCAGTCACCCCAAAGAAAGAAATGCAATAGAGGACTACAGAAACTAATGAATAGATTTTAATATGTCGTGGTTAGTCTGTAGTAAGTAAACCATCCATTAATCCATTTTATAAGCTGCAACTAATACCTCAACTATCCCATTTATATACTAGCTAAAAGCTTACTAATGCTTCAGAAGGAATTGACAAATTGTGAGTCATAACATATCTTTATGCTCTTCTTATCGAGATGCAGACTATATCTATGAAAACTTCATTATCACCATCATAACTTATTGGAGCCAAGTTTAGAAGCCATTGTAAAGGGGGACTGTTAAAGAAAAAATGCACAGGAGAGAAAAGAAAAAATGCACAGGAGAGAACAGTGAAATGCCAAAGCCAGATAACTGCTTAAGATTGAGTTAATTACACATCGTTGGTACCGCTCCTTGAATCAGATATCATGAAGTGTGAAAGGAAGTACTCCAAGTTAAGCTGTCTTCAAGAAGGGCACTTTATCTTTCTGATATTTTTTTATGGCTTCTATAACTTCCACTGAGAATGTCTCGTCCTCAGGGTAATAAGCAACAGGATCTTGTAGCAGAGGCAATGGTAGATTAAGAACAGCCTCAAGTGTTGCATGGAGACAATATGCTGAATATGTGACATGGTATCCACCCTCCTGAACAATTAGAAGCCGTCCATCACAGTGCTTGTCCGTAAGAGCCCGTACTATCTGTCCAATTCCCCTATAGCCCTCCATTGTTAAGCATTGCCTTCCATTGGGATCAAACTGAAGCACATGCATACCAAAATGTAACAATATAAGTAAATCAGCTTTTTTATTGACAATAGCAGCAAGGCAAATACAGGGATGATTAATTTACTAAGATATTTGTATACATTGTCTAGTTGAATAATTCACAGTTGAGATACGTAATCACTGCAAATCTGGAAGGATATTTTGCAAAAGGAGTTTCTACCAATATATAATTTGAAGGAAAGACTATACTTAATGAAAGTTGTTTTTCAGAATACCTTAATTCTGCTGGTTAAAAACAAAAAGAAAAAGAAAAAGAAAAGGAGTACTATAATTCCACGGAAAATGATTAATTACAACCACTTTTTTGTTGGAATGGGAAAAAAGCAGAGTTCCATTTTGTACTCCAAGAAATGTAGATACAAATGTAAGAAAGGTCTCTGAGGTTTCAAGTTCTGAGAGACCACGAACTCAATTCAATTTCTCACAAACTTGGTAGAGTAGATTTTTAGTAACAATCAACATATAATTTAGGAACCACAGAGATGGTAAATGGATCAACTTACAGCACTTGAGTCTTGCCCAATAACCAAAACTAGAACATCAGGGTCAAATTTCTCGATTGATGGAACCACCAAATGATTGAAGGCATATACATATCCCTTGTCCCCAGTTCCATTCGGCAGAGGAATGTTCAAGTTATAGCCATAACCTTCTCCTTCACCAAGTTCATCAACAGATCCAGTCTGAGGATTTGAAGGACCCCATGATCCATGGTTCATATGGAGGGAGATGGTAAGAACTTTATCAGACTGATAAAATCCCTCTGCTGTACCATTTCCATAATGAACATCAATGTCTATCACTGCAACTTTTCTACACCGAGAATCTAAAGCTAACTGGATGGCAAGACCAGCATTGTTAAGGAAGCAGTAACCATCAGCTTGAGTAGGCTGAGCATGATGACCAGGGGGCCTAACCAATGCATATGCTATTTTCCCATGGCCATCAAGTATATGCTTCATTGCAGATATTGTGGTTCCAGCAGCAAGAAGTGCAGCATCCCATGATCCCGGGTTTAAGAATGTTCCAGCACATAGAATCTTTCCACCTTCTTTGTCTGCTTGTACCAGTCCATTTATGTATTCTAGCAAAAGAACACATTTGATATTTAAATTAAACAGACACCATATCATTCTCTAAAGCCTTAATCTGACTCCGATTATAAAAGAAATAGTTTCAGTACCATTTTGAAGTTTGTGTCTGTTAACTTGGTCGGATAGCTGATATTATCAAATCTATATCAGTCAACTCAGAGTGAACAATGAATTCATTGAAGGAGGAATTGGATAAGTGGATGGAATACATAAACTGTATCATCCCATTTCCATGCTAATATCTAAAAAGGTAACAGAGAGAGAGCGAGCGAGTAAACTCCCCATGTCATTTCCCTGAGGCTAGAAGAACAACAGTTCTGTAACTAAAGTTCTCCCTCCAGGGCAAAGTTAAACAACTTCATGGTTTTTAAGTAACGGTGGATAATATCCTCGTACTTCTAAAAAAAAGTTTTAATTTCTCATTTTGCCCTTCACTAAAATTAATGATCACAATAAAATCTGTCTAGAAATTACAACTTGGTACAATTAATGAGGGGCAATACTGGGGGAAGAAAAACTATCTTCTACGTCTTTATCCTATATTTAGAACCAAATACTGCTTCAAAACTTTGTCCTGAGGGAGTATACTCTGTTTTATGTTGTTATCAATTATTAGAAAGATTTACATTTAGATTCTCTCGTCTAACAGTGAATAGTGGTGTTAAGTAGGCTAGTTAGCAGCAAATGTCACATCTTAATCATTTCAAGTTTTTTTTTAAAAAAACTTCAATCCCACCTTTTCTGTTTTTACCGCATCACCATGATAATTTTGTTAAAGTTACCCGACGAATTAATGAAGGAATTGATTGAAGAAACAATAGCTAGAAAGAGAAAGAGAAATAGTACCAGAAGTGTGGAAAGAAAGCAGTTGCGGGAGAAGAGCAGGAGAGCCAAGGTGCCAAGAAATGTAAGGGGAGATTGGTCCTCTTTTGAGTATAGAAACCATATTTCGGATCCTGTCTGAATTTTCCGGATGCTTCTCCAACACCTCCAAGAAGCCAGGGTCGGTTCCTGTGTCAAATACTCCATTACCAGCGTCATGCTTCAGCATATCCTCGTGCCAGAACACATCAATTCGATTCGTTGGCGAGCTCAGTGATTCAGCCATACAACACTGAACTAGATATCTTTGTTTCCTTGGTTGAGGATTGGGGATTAGATTGTTCTTCGAGACTAGAAGATAACGCTAGCGGACTTGAGCACCTGCAAATTTTAGGCTTGTTTGGTTTTCACTTTTTGGAGGAGGAATTTTTTAAAATGAAAAATCTCATTAAAGACCCTCAAAACCAATATACTCACAAAGAGAGCCAAGAGAATCTCAAATTATTCTGCAAGCCCAAGGTCTTAGCTGGAATTAAAATTTTAACAAAATGACTCAAATGCCCCTTACTCTTTCTTCTTTTAAAAAGAGGTCACTATCATCGGCTGTCATTCTAGCACCAATAAGGATGCTGCAACCACCAGTAGCCGGACCGCCATCGCCAATCACCAAAGATCAAATCTGTTCGAAGGCACCATGGGGCCAATAGAGGATTTGAATCCTTAATCCTTAGTCATTCAATAAAAATATCACCACTAACCATTATGTTTAAAGCCAGAACAGATTGGCGACCCAACCATCTATCCAGTCCAACTTTTTATGTGAAGTGGATTTGTCTAACTTGAGTTAACAAGGACAACCCAATATTAACCTAGACCAATCCACCAAACCCCACAAATCAGGCAGGTTGATATTTTTTTTTTTTTAAATTTTGACCCTTAAAATGACTTTGTTTTGGGGGTTAGGATATAAAAATAAAAATTGCAAAAGCCCTAAATCTCTTTCACTTTCTAAAGTTACCATTTTCAATTTCAGACAGCCATTTTCCTTTAAAAAAAAAAAAACAGAATGTTGATTTTGAACTCATTCTCGTCATTCTTGATTTTACCTGATCTCCTTCCTTCTTCATTGAGTTTGCCAAAGTCCACCTTGCCATCGAGTCTTCTGCCTTATGAACATTGCTCAAGTGCTTGACATTACTGCTGTGATTTTGAGATGACTTGCACGTTCTCTTTCTTTTCTTTAGCACAGCTTCTTCTATCGCTCAAGCAAAGATGAAGAGAGAAGAAGAGAGAAGTAGATGGAGAAAGAAGATGAAGACTAATGCGTGACCAATGCATACTGAAAATTCTAAAGTTGTGGTGATTGATGTCTGCTACACATAAAAAAGTGTAACAAGATTTTAGGCTAGAAATAGGTAAGTACAAGTAGATGAGGAAAAAAAATTATATATTGTAAATTTTATATGTTTACATTATTTTTTAACAAAATATTTATTATTTATTATATAATAAAAATATATATTATTTTATTATGACTAGTTTAATTTCGGTTTAACCTCTGGTTAAACCATTGATCCCTAATCTTAATTGATTTAATAGCCAGTCCAATTTTTAATACCTTGCCAAACACTACCAAACATCTTTAGTTATATATTTCAAAATATAGCATATATTATATATTGTTTTCAAGTATGTGTGTATGTTACCATTGTCATGGATTTATCATTGTTGATATCCAAACATTCACTTCTAAAGATGCAAACATGACTTGATCGTATATAAAAAAGTTAGTCAACTTTTTAAAAACCAGCTTCTTCAATTTTTTAATAACTTGTTACTTCAATATTGACAAGTCATCAATATTATATTAAATAAAAATATATATGTTTTAAATTTATTTTTCAAACATTTTCATTGGCATTAATACTAGGGTTGCACAAAGGATTAACCCACAAGACTTCAGCCTAACTAGAAGTTTAGTCCTTTTCAAGAAAAGGATTGAGTTAAACAACTCAGGATCTGGTCTAGTCCTAATATAAACCAAAGCCGAACATGACCATACCAATCCAATAGGACTAGGAGACCTAGTCCCAGTTTTATCCAATATCTCATTTTATTTTTTTTTTTTTCATCTTTGAGAGGTAACAATTTATTTTAACATGATAAACTCAATTAACATAATAAAATTAATTATAGTCATATAAAATTTATCACAATAATAACTATAAATCCACAACAATATCCAACAATAATAAAAAGTATTTTAGTTACAATACAAATGATTCAAATTAAATAACCTCCAACATGTCTAAAGTTCATTATACTAATTTAACAACAAATTTTACCAATAAAAGGAGAAAACCGAGGTTGGTCAATGCTGAAATTTTGTTTAATATTTATGACTTCACAAGATAAAACACAATAAATTACTAATTATTATTATAAATAAACTTATTATAATAATAACTAGTAAATTAATTATAATTATATTAAATAAATTTATAGGATTGGATCGGTCTCTTATCTAGTCTAACCTGAAGAAAAAGTCTAGTTTTTTTTTTGTTTTTTAGTCCTGAAAGGCCAATTTTTATCTGGACTGAATAGGATCAAGTTTGTCTCAGATTAGATTGGACTGGAGGACTTTTGCACAACCCTAATTGCTGTTAATCATGGACGCATTATTATTCATAACTTGTTTAATTTTTTTAACAACTCATTCATGCACGCATGCATGTGTGTTACAAATATATTGTTCAAGCATTTTTTTGAACTTTACTATTAATCGTGAATGCATTATTGTTCATATTTGAATAATTATTTGTAAACTTTTTAACATGACTTATTTATATATAAAGATTATATTGGTCTCCTTTGTGAATATCTTGATTTTAAGGGCCATTAATGAGATTCTTCCTTTTAAAACAATTGTTTTTGTAAGTAGGGATGCTATCACTCATAAGGATGAGTTAATAAAAATAAATAAATAAATAAATCTGCATAACTAGGCCTTGTTTGATACGTAAGACTTAAGTTAGAGGAATTAATATTAGGATTGGAATAAGTATTGGTAATGAAAATGAGGTTTTAAAATTACATTTGGTATGAGGTAACACTTGAAGAGAAAACTTATTTTTATTTTATTTTGCAATAAAACATAAATTGTGAAAATCCTGTAATACTCCTTAAAATTAAAAAAAAATTGTAACCCTAACTCTAATCACCCTCCTTCACCTTCTCCCAAAGAGTGACCACGACAGCACAAAAAGGCCATTGCTCACACTCTTTGACCACGTTCCACTGACTCTATTCACAAACAAGTTTATCTTCCCTACAATTAGCACATCAACCACCCCTTCACCATTATGTGCCCCTTTATTGAACTTAGTTGGCACTCAAGAACTTCCTCCTAGACACTGTCACACCAATTTAAAGTTGTGAGAGAGGAAGATGTAGGTTAGACCTATGAGAGAAGGAAACAAAAGTGGTTGCGAGAAGCTTTGACATCTAGTGATGATGGTTGCGAGATCAATTCAGTGGTGTTTGTGAGAACCAAATGGCAATGGTTGTGAGATTGGAGAAGAAGAAGGCAACAATGTTTGTGAGATCTAGAAATTGGTGGTTGCGAGATCAGAGAAGAAGGAGAAGGCAACAAAGACAAAGGTGGAGATGAGATGGAGGTGGTTGGGAGAGTGGAAGATCAAGAGGTAGATGTGTGCTCAAAATGGAGGATGTTTTGGTATAAGAAAATTCAATCTCAAGCTTTTATTTTGAATATTACCTCTCTTATGAGTTTCATTAATCCCATCTACGTGGGTTTTACTATACCCAAGAATTAAAAAATTCATTGTACCAAACATCATATTTATGGCTTTCTCCAATAGCAATCCCAACATCCTAATGATTCCTACCAAACAAGGCCTTAATGTTTTATTTAAACAATTTATTCTATAAAATAGCCTAGCAAATGTCAACAATTGTTAATAAAAATAAATTGGCTCATTAGCAGAAAAAAGTCTTGTGTCCAAAAAATATGGACTAAATTTTTTTAAAATTTGAAGGTGTGGTCGGTTTATATTAATATACAAAGAGTTTATTATTAAAAATTTATAAAAGATTTATTATTGATATATAACTTTATATTATTGACAAATATAATAAATTAAATATAATATAAAATATAATAAATGTTGAACAGTTTGCTTAGGTTGGTTCTATGATATAGGTTATGTCTATAAAATGACTTCCCCACCATTCACATTCAGAAAATAACCCTGCACACCTTCTCTTCCGATCTTCCCACTCCCTCCCTGAAATTACACCCATTCCTCTAAATTGATAAATTAATTAATATACAATTGAGCTCCAATAAATACAAATTATGGGAAAATATATACTGATTGACTAATCTAATGCACTTAGCTTCCCCCTTCGATGCAGTGAGAAGAAATCTGAACCATTCAAATTTAATTAAGATGGTTCTAATTAAATATTTTTATTTTTATTTTATTTTTATTGAAGTAAAAATAATATAAATTATAAAACATTTTAATAAATATGTTTACTGATATGAATAATACAAATTTAATATATATGGTCTAAATTTAATATTAAATTTTTATAAATTACCTATCTAAATATATTTTGGATGGTGCAAATTTATTATTATATTTTTTAATATTAAGTTTGGAAAATTTATATTAAATCTAAATTTTTTAAACTGGTGAATAAATTTATTAAATTTTTTATAATTTAAATATTTTTTATATTAATAAAAATGTTAACAAAAATATTAAATTTAGATCATTTAAATTAAATTTAAATGGTTTAAATTTCTCTTCAGTTAGAGGAGATACAGTGTAGGCTTCCCTCCAAATTCCTCTCTGATAATTCATCCAATTGATCTTATCCTATTTCCTGTTTCTCTGATGGGCTTTAGCCCATTTCTTCCAGATTTGTATAAGTTTGTCCATCAGAGTAGCCCATAACATTTATGGGTTCTATTTTCCTAATGTTGGAGTGAAACTCCGAAACAAAATTCCACAATTTATTTTGGTCAGTAGCGTGAAAAAAATTAATTTTGCCAATTCTTTTTATGCTCGCATCACGAGTTCGAGCAACACAGGAGATAAGTGTTTTGATGTTTGCCAATTCTTTAAAAAAAAAAAAACCCCATTTTGGTCACACAATTTCGGACATTACCATAATTTGGCCAGTGCAGAGCTAGTTAAGATAGATTACATGAGGCCAGAAATAACTTGTTTCATTAGGGCAAAAAAGAAGGTTATGAGAGAAGCTTCCCAGATAAGAGCTTAGGATATCCCAAAAAAAAAAAAAGAAGTAAGAAATAAAGAATGAGAGAATAACAAACGAGGACCTTGTAAAATATTTCTAATAAATATGCCTTAATGGTCAATGAATAATGAGATGGATGTGT